GTTGTAAATCTCAAAACACATCTTGATTTTCAATTAATTATTATCCAAATAAACATTTTTCAAAGTAAAAATTTTGTATAGTTTCGTTATTCCCCTTCCTGTAACTTTACAAGTATGGTTGACTTGAGTTTGGAGGCCCAACGGCAAACAATTCTCCATTACTGGCTTAGCGGTATTCAATCGCCAAAGGAGATACATAAGAAAACCAACATTTCCGTTCGTACTATTAATTATAATCTTAAAAAACTTCGAGAAACAGAAACCATTGGCCACAAGAAAGGTAATGGTCGCCTTTCTAAGGTTACACAAAGTGTGTCTCGCTCAATTGGACAGTATGTGTACCGAAACACTGCTGTTTCAACACGGCAACTTGCATCCAAGGTGCAAGCAACACAAAATATTTCCATTTCGCATAGTGCTATTTGGCGGCATATGAAAAAAAAAAGTTATAAAAGCTCTGTACCCCTCGGAACTCCAATGCTTACTAATAAACATATCGAAATGCGGGTAGCATGGGCACAAGCTCATTTAGAAGACAATTGGGACAGAACTATATTCACTGACGAGACAGCCTTTGACCTTTTTCGAAACAAAGTGCGTCGGTGGCATAAGAGCGGTGAAAGACCCATCCGCCGATTACCAAAATCACGTCAAAAAGTTATGGCGTGGGGCGGCATTTCTCGAGAGGGAAAAACACCATTATTTTGTTTTACTGACATAATGGATGGACCTTTTTACGTAAATATATTACAGACCCAGCTCCTGCCCGCTGCCCAAAGTATGTATGATAATAACTGGCGTTTGCAACAAGACAACGATCCAAAGCACACCTCACGTGTTGCTAAGAACTTCATTGTCGAAAATGGGATTCAGGCTATTGATTGGCCATCCAATAGCCCGGACCTCAATCCCATTGAAAACGTGTGGCACATAATCAAGAACAATGTCGAAAAGCGAATGCCGAAAGATACTGATGAATTAAAAAGATTTATGGTCGAGGAGTGGGATGCAATTTCAGAGGATATTGTCAAAAATTTAATTTTATCGATGAAAAAAAGATGCGAGCTTGTTTTAGAGGAAAATGGAGATAGGATTTCGTATTAAAATTTTTATATGTAATAAAGTACATGATAAACTTTCTAATAAATATAGTATCATTTAATTGTTTCATGTGATTGTTGAGTTATGCAGTTTTTCATGAAGGCAATTTTTTTCGTTACACACTGTATAATGTATTTGATGAATATTGTTTTAACATCATCACCATGTATTTTATCAAAAATTCAATGAATGACATAACGTCATCTCCCTTCAAGCTCTTCATCTGGCAAATGAGTATCTTCAAAAAAAAAATTTTTTTTAGCAATATGATTATCAACTGTTGATGGTGATGATGCTTCATCTGATTTATTCATTCATTCATCTCATTCAAATAAAAATTTATTAATGTAAAATTTAAATAACTCTTAAAATATCCTAGGCAGTTGAAGAGTAATTATAAAATGTTTGTGTTTTTATAATACCATACCACTGCCAATTAATTATAAATATAAAAAACAGAGAAAATAATGTCTTTGGAGAATGATGATAATAATAGTAGGTCAAGATATATTGTTAATTTATAATTTATGTTTGATAATTGATAACTGATTATCAAAAGTCATTACAAAGCTAAAGCCATGAGCATTTCCATCCTCGTGAGAAACGAATTTTTACTTCAATAGTGAAGTAAAAGCCATTAGGTCACAAATCCTAAACTCGTTGGACATCCAATCTATCAGGCTTACTGTGTTGCTATTATTTCACGCAACTGGAGAACATTATGACTGGACCAATCCTACTTTATTCTATTTATTTCATAAACTCTCGGATCAAATAATGGGCCAAAATTAAGGACTGTGATATATTAATTAATGAAACAAAATATTCAATAAATTCAATGCAAAATTGAATTTCAATAGTGAAGTGATGATAGTGACGATTATGATGATGCGACAATTTAAATTAATAGCTTATTTTTTTAATATCTTATTATCCTGGACAAAATTAATAATTTTGCTTTTTGTCATTTTTTTGCATCAACCAGATTGTCAAAATGGTCTTGATATGAAACTATTTTTAGTCGGTACAATAACTAAAATTAAAGTCTCACTAATCAATACATAATTATTGATTTTGGGCTTAAAAAGAAGTAAATAGAATATATCCCAAATTTTGATATAATTTCAAACAAGGATTTGGAAAATTTTAAGATATTATAAGAAAATACCAATCAATTTATTACTACTCCAGGTAGAGAAATATAGTCTTTGAAGACAATAATGAAAGTGATAAAATCGCTGTCAATATTAAGAAATCAATATATATTTTCTAATGGAAGCCATAGGAAGTGGCTAAAGGTTGTGTAGATGTATAGATAGAGATGATATAAAGGGTGTAAATAATACTAGAAATGGACTATATGATGTTGTGGTTTATATCAATTTTATATTAATGAAACTGACAATTAAAAAATACAGTTGAAATATCTTTTTTTAAATTTAAATTTTATTTTGATTCATAATTTTGGGAAAGTTGCACACATTATTATTATGTTGATACATCTTGCTTGGGAATATCAAAAATAAATTGTAATACAAGAATCGATAATCGATAAATAAAAACTTTTGTATTATTATAAAGATCATATTGAAGATTAAAACAATATTTAACAATTAATTAAACTTAAGCTGATAACTTTTTTTAATTCAATAGAATGGTAAAGGATTATATTTTTAATGTGTGTGTTTAATTTCGAAAAGAGTTTATTACTACTACTGCGTATCACGTTATATTTCACGCATTTTGATTTAAATTTCGTGTAACAAACAACGGAAAATTTTTTTTAACTCCTTCAAAATGTCAAATAGTTTTTCACCCTTTGAAAATATCACAACACTAATTAACAATATTGTTGATTCCAATAAAGATGCTTTACCTCTAAAACATATTGGTAAACTTGTAAATGATCTAACCAATTTATTAAAAGAATCAGACTTTTACGATGTAGAAATTAAAGTTGGAGAAGGCCAGAATGATATCAAAACTTTTAAAGCTCATTCTGGCATCTTAAAAGCAAGGTCTTCATACTTTAAAACAGCTCTGTCAACTAATTGGGTTAAAAGAACAGAAGATGGTATTATCTTATTTGAGAAAGATAACTTTTCTCCAAAAGTTTTTGAAGTTCTTTTAATGTAAGATCAATTAATTTAATTAATTTGAATGGTTGATAATATTTTTGAACAAGATATTTAAACATTTATTATCATTATATTTTTTTATTATTTAAAAGATATATTTATAATGGAATTATTAATACAGACAATTTGGATTTTTATGAAGTTGTTGAACTTCTTGTAGCATGCGATGAACTAAATTTTAACGAATTACTTGACAGTTTACAAAATTACTTGATTGCTAATGAAAAAAAATGGATTCAACAGCATTTAAACCATTTTTATCAAATTTTATCAAATCATCAATCATTTAGCATCCTTAAAGATTACTTTGAAAATTTGATTAATTACAATCCAGGATCATTCTTAAAATCAAATGATTTTTATGATATTGAAAAACCAACATTCATATCTTTACTAAAAAATGACTACTTAGATTTAAAGGAAATTTTTACTTGGGATTGTATCATTGAATGGGGAATTGGTCAAATTAAAAACTCAGAAAAGGAAAAAATTATTTCAATGTGGAGTGAAGATGATTACAAGGAGTTAAAAAATATGCTAGAAGATATTATTCCTTTGATTCAATTCCAGGATATCTCCAATGAAGAATTTTCTGATAAAATTAAACCTTATCAAAAACTTTTTCCTGAGTTCTTCTGGAATAATCTTTTACATTATTATTTGATTCCTGTCAATACACAACAAACTTTAAATTTATTACCATCAAGAAATCCTAAAATTGAATCATTGACAATTAATCAAAATCTTACTTTGCTTTTTGCAAGTTGGATTGATAGAAAAACTTCATCATATACTTCATTCAAGGAAGTCAAATATATATTCAAACTTCTATATCGTAGTAGCAGAGATGGTTTAAATGCTGCTACATTTCATCAACAATGTAATAATATTAACAAAACTCTTGTAGTTTGCAGAATACAAAATTCAGAGCAAATAATTGGTGGTTATAATCCACTGAATTGGAATGGTAATGCATGGAAAAATACAACTGAAAGTTTTATTTTTAATGTAAGTAATAGAAATAATATCAATACTGCTCAATTTAGTTATGTTGTCAATAAATATAGAGCAGTTGGTTGTAATCCTCTTAATTTACCAATTTTTGGTGGTAACTCTGATCTTTTTTTTAACAATAATGGTAGTGTTAATAGTAAACCATGTGATTATAGTAATGTCAATATAGTAAATTATAATATAGTTGGTGAATTGGAAGTTTTTCAAATAATTGATAAAAAATAAATAAATGTTAGATTATTTTTCATTAGTTATAATTTAATTACAATAAACATAAGACTAAATTTAATTAATTAAATATGTTAATGATAAGTTATCAATTATTATAAAGTGTGAACAGACAAAAATGCGATAAAAATTTTCATTAGACGTTCAACAAACTTAATGAACTTCTGTTCTTTGCATAACTTTATTGGTCTTCACTTGAATGAGCAGGGGAGAATAAATACCACATTAACATTCAAATAAATAGATATCTGTAAAATCATTATCTTTTTAATAAACTTTTAAAAAATAAAACCATTATTTTATTTGGTAGAAAAAGCAACAGGCTATGTTTATTTTATTAAATATACAAAATTGGGTAATAACATTTCTAGTGGAAGTGATATTGTAAAAACTTTGCAGGCACACATTTTCCAAATTAATTAAATTAATTCCAGGATGTGGCCAAGAAGGAATTATAGAAGCTTATGAAATACCTAATTATGGATTACCAAAAAATATATACAATTTCTGATATTGAAAACTTCTTGAGGGCAACAATATGAATCGACCAAATGCAGTTACCATTGACCAAACAACTGCTCAATTAGTATGGAAAATAAATGCATTTTTAGAAACCAGTCCTTTGATTCATATTTAATAGCCATTGATGTAAGATTCAACTTAAGGAGATAGATTATTCATTAATTAGAGATTGGATCAATTCACTAGTTTTGATATTGCATGATGATTACCCGAAAAATTACCATATATGTAAACAATTAATGCCCTATTAATTCACTTTAAAAAGTAAATAAAAGTGTAATGAAAGTGTAATAAAAGATTTGGTTTAAACGTAAATTGTAAAGTTGAAGAAATAAAATTGAAACTAATGGTATTCCTTCTCTCTAGCAAATCAAATCATGGATATATTAGATTTAATCAATATCTCAAAAAATGGGCTGAAAATGCCAACATTGATTTTGCGCTAATAATGTATGCTTTTTATAAAATTAAATCTTTTATTTTATTATTATATAGTTTTTTTCTTTTCAACTAAAACAAATTTAATCAACAATACATTTTTTTATAAATGAAAAGTCTTGGGTAATTTCTTTTTAATTAAATATATTATAAAGAATTTCTTATTATTTGTAAAATTTCATATTAATTTTCTCTCGATTACATTTTTATAAAGCAAAAAAAAAGTTCACTCTTTATATTAGTACTTAAGTAAAATTTGTCATTTTCCTTTATTACGTTTTACTTTTTTGGAAAACAAAAGATAAAAAAATAAATGACTGCATATGTATATAGAAATATATGAAACTATATTAATCCACAATAGTTTTCTTTTATACATAACATACAATTATTTGAACTGGCTGATAATATAAAAAAAAGGATTTAAATTAAAAATAACATATGATTTAATATCTTAATTTTGTTCCCATTCAAATAGGACAAACAAACATACTTGGAAACTTAGCTCACGATAATTCCATTTAACAAGGTTCTTTTGACGGTAGTTCTATCGGTCAAACAGTATATTTCTAAGGAATGTCAGTAATACTGTTGACCAGAACAATTCATTGGTCGAATCAACAATATAAATCAATTATTATAACATAGTTAATGAACCAAACGATTTATCAAGTTATTACATTTTTACCTAGATCCGAATGTATACAAAATTTGATTTACCATGAAATTTTGGACAATAAAAACGGACACTGTGAAAATGACGTTTTGAGAAAATTAAAAAACTTTAATATCTCAAAATTTTATTAAACAAAGCGGGTATAGTTTCCATGCCAAAAATGTTCTGCGCGTATGAGGAATTACATGTAACAGTGATATTTAACTCAAAATTGCCCTCTTTACAGACCACATCTTGTATAAATATAAAAACATTTGAAATGTTAGGATCTTTTTTGCAAAAAAAAAGTTTAAAGTTTTAGTTCTTTAATCATTAATTTAATAAAAATTGGTAGAGAAATCATACATATTCACAAGAACCTAAGCTACAAAAACAATTTATCTAAAATTTTGCAGAATTATTAAAAAATTCGTCCGAGTACTTTTGGAGAATAGCGTACTAAAATATTACTTATTCTTGATAATATTTAGAGTAAAAAAAAAAAAGGTCAACGATAGTTATAAGTTAAAGAAGATGGAAACGTAAATGTTTTTTAAAAATGTGATATCTAATAAATTAACTTTATTGTTTATTTAAAAATATTACAATTAACGTTATCACAAATTGCACAATGATTAGTATTATTCTAAAAACGGTCATTATTAAGATAGTTTCCATGTGCTTTTTTAATAATAAAAATAAAATTAAATTTTATTTAAAAGAATTCATTATTTTTATAATTAATTTTGCAAACATTGCATTATTATTATAAAAATTCTTCCATAATGATAAAATGT